TCCACAAGCCCCGACTCACGTCCTTCACGCGTTTCGGGCCGGCAGCTTCCCGCGGCCTCTGCAGGGCTGCAGCGGCGGAGAGCAGGAAAAGTGAAGTGAGGAGAGAAGAGAGAGGAGGTTCATAAAGCTGGTCTGTTTAGGCTCGTTTTCTGTGCTTTATTTTTTTTCTTTTTCCTTTTAGTTATTCACAATTTGAGATGAAAGTTGGGAATTTCTGGTTTAAAGGGAGGAGTTAGGCTGCTTTTATCCCGGTTCCTCCGAGCGCACGATGGTGCGTGGTCTGTCCGCGTGCACACGCGTGCTGCCGCCGGCGTGTGCAGGACGACACGTGTGCGCACACGCCGGCAGGTCCCACAGGTCGGTCCTGCAGATGCTCCGTGCCTGGTCGCTCCCCAGCCCGCGGACACGCGCATCGCCCCGCGGACACCAGCCGGCTCTCGCGCCTCCTCCTGCCCGGCCGGGTGGGCTCCGTACGTGTGCAGTCGCGCACGCGCGTGTTTTTGTGCAGATTGTCTCAGATGGAGCCCAGAAGGAAGATGGGCGGGAGCTGCCTGCAAATGATTTGGCAAAGGCTTTCCTGTTCAATTTGGAGCGTCTCTCCTTTGAAGCCAGCGCTGGGTCTTGTGTCTGCGCTGACGTTTGAGTCCATGAGAGCAAACGGTTCCTGCAGCCAAGTATCTGCCAGGCTGTGTCGGGAGAACTTTTATCATTTCTGTCACAGACATCACAACTCGCTTGTCTTACCATACATCTTCCTAAATGTGACAGAATATTCAGCTGTTATTAATTGAATACTCTCTAATTTAACTGCTTAGCGGGAGCGAGAGCGACTGGTTTGTTTCATGGCGCAGAGCCGGCGTGGGGCTCTGGAGGGCTCGCGGTGGGGCTTCGGGCTCAGCTCCGGGGTGTCCCGGAGGGGTGCCCCGATCCCGCCAGGGCAGGGCACACCGCCGCCTCCGGCATCAGCGCGGAGGATCCCTGCCCAGGAGCCAGCGGGCTGGTACGTGGGAGAAACTCGGGTAGCTTAGAGCTGTTCCCGTTGCAGGCGCTGCTGTCATCAAGGCTCTTCCAGTGGCCGTTTTTCTGACTGAGTTTGCGTCATTCGGGGGCGGATTTGAGCTAATCTGAAACCAATATCCGGAGAGCGACCAGGTCTCCGAGTGAGCGAAGCCTGCTCGAGACCAGTCGGCTTTGATGCCAACCTGTGAAAAACAAGCACAGCTTTCCCACGGAGACGCAACAAGCCGTTGGCAGGGCCTGGGACGCTCCAGCAGCTAAGGGGAGCGGGGAGGGCTGCCGATTGGGTTTAATCTTTCAAGATTTGGGCTCTGCCAGGGCTGTGGAGCTGCCGTCTCTGTTGCCTGGGGCTTGTTCAGCTTTAGGCGAGCAGGAGCTGGGCCACGGATGCAGACACGCAAGGCTCAAACTCATGGTTATGGCTTCTTGTCTTCCTCGTCCTTGGAGGCTTCGCATCGAATTCGAGGACCAGGAGGGTCATCGGTAGCCGGTGGCTAGGGGGAGATGGCCCACATGCAGGTGGATCATTATTGCAGGGTCATTCAGGAGCTCCAGCGCATCACTGTGGCCATTTCCTTTGGAGGAGGCTGGAGGAGCCCGGGTTTCTCATACCTGCGCAACGAGGTGCGCAGGGCACGTCCTCTTCAGCCACACCAGCCAGCAGAAAGGGCTGCCACCAGGCACAAAACTGGGGATAAAGCGGCCCAGCCTTCCCCAGCCACGTGCTCCGGGATGGCCAACTGCTTGCACCAGCGCGTGCTCACCTCTCTGTGTCGCCCTCCATGAAAGTTCAAACCTGGAGTCAAGTTTATTGTTTCTATCTCGTTTATTTTAAGTATAGTTTTACACTTTATTATATGCTGTGACATCTTAAATGGAGCCTGTCACTCCATCTTGACTACTGCTAGGGGCTACAGCCACTTACTGTGTCAGGCTTTTCGGCAGCCCTGATTAACGATATCAAAACGAATGGATCCCAGCGCAGGCACACGCACGAAAATCAAGGGGAGATTTGCATATTGAAATTGTGCACGGCATCGAAAGGATACGGCTAATACAAGTATTCCACCGACACACCCTGTGGATGCAAACATGCGCTGCCGTGCATCCCTATGTAGAGGACATGTGCGCGTTGTTAAGGTTTATGCGCGCACACACACACGTATTTACTTAGTATCTTCAGCCAGAGGGAAAAAGCACTTGCCCTTTTTTTTCCCCGGGTTTTTTTCTTCTCCCAAGACAATATATCAATTAAGATAGCTAAATGGAATAATATTTTTTTCTTGTGAGCCTGTTGGGATCTGTTGCAAAATTACCCATGCAAATGCTTTTTTCCTGAAAGTAACATTTTGTTAGGTTAATTCATGCACTGGAAAAACAAACTTTCTGTTCTTCCAGTCCAATCTCCGCTTACAAGTCAGGTTTCTGTAACCCTGTCATTAAAATGCGAGGTAGCCTACAGTAATTTGAATATTTCATTCTGCCGGCTGCTAATGCACTCTGCATTACAGATGGTACTTGCTCCATCCTTCTGGACTGGGTTCAATTATAAATGAAAGTAGGGAGCTGAGATTTGTCTTTTTGTCTCTGCTTAGTTGGAATAACACAATAAAGCTTGATGGGTAGGAATTCCTCAAGCTGCCTCCCCTTTGCCTGGTACGTTTCCTGTGTAGCTTTCTCCTCCTGACTTGCCTTTCAAGTCCAGCCGGGAGTATTTGGGTTTGTGATGGCGTGTTTTTTCATGATTCGGATCGACGCCTCGGATGCGTCGTGTCCCCTTTTGGAAAGCGCTCAGTTCAGTTCCTCTGCTTCTCTCTGTTATTCGCCTGTCTCTGCATCCCCTTTTGCTGCCCAGGTGGGGACTGGCAGTGGGAGAGCGCTGCTGGAAACACTGTGTGGACGGGAAGGAGGGTGCCATGGAGCGGCTCCTGCGATGGATGGGGGCTGCTCGGCCGGGGCTCCAGCCCATCTCGTCGTGCTGCTCGGACACAAGCTGCTTCCCCTCTCGGTGTGTCCCCAGGGGGGACAAGGGCAAAGTCCTTAGCTGGAGAGATGCGGGAGCTGAAAGGCAGCCCTGTTCCAGCCCAGAGTGACTGCTGTGGTCTCTTTCCAAAGTCCCTATTAATGGTGGGGCCCCTGGAGAACCAAAGAAAACATTTACCTCTGCTTTGTGATTAACAAAAGTGGGGTAGCAAATCTATAGTCCAGCTGTACAGGGGCTCTATTACATACAGATGCCTTTTGCGAGCTCCTTCTCTCGTCTCCAAACGCTAAAAGCAATATTGCCGAGGGAGTCAGAGGAGGTGAGGGCAGGGCTTTCAATTTGGTTTTACATTTACAAGGACCAGATGGCCCGCTGGAGATGATCTTTGATCTGGGACGCAGCCGGAGTTTGTCGAAGATTTTTGCTCCCTTTTTAATCTCCTGTCTGTTTATGGCGTGGGCCTCTCGCAGAAGGCTGGAATTTAAAGAGTTGGGGGGGGTTTATGCGTCCGGCTCTTGCCAACGTGCAGTCACTTACCTTTGCGGGCTTGGTGTCAGCGGGCAGGTTTGGTGATAGAAGCGCTGAGCTGGCTTGTCCGAGGTCAGCAGTCCTCATTTTTGGACATGTCGTTCAGTCTCCCACCTTTCCACTCCTTGCTTATCTTGTAAGAAAGGGCATCAAAACTCCTCTTTCCCCACATGAATGTCTCAAGCTCTCTCTGTCTTAAGCTCTCAGCTCTTTTTGGACAGGATCTCTGTCTTTCTTGCTTGTACCCCGTAAAAGGACCCATGATTTTTGCAAGGGATTCTGGCCCTGTCTGGAGTAGATGTAGGAATTTACAAGACTGGCTTCTGTTACACCACTGCCCTGCAGCCTAGAAATTTGTGTCAACAAGAAGATCTTGCACTGAATATAATTAAACATATGCAGATGCCTTCAAACAGAAATGTCATTAATTGATCCTTTTTAATTATTTTCTCCATTTTCTCTTGTGTCTAACAGCCTTTCAGAAACATGGAGAGGCATGGCCTCTTTCTCTCTTCCCCTACTTCCTTGCCATCAAAGGCCAATTTTGGGTTTCTTTCTTCCCCCACATGTTTTGAATGGAGCTGAAATGAACGCAGCCGATCCTATTTCACAAGCTCTTGGACTCTTACAGCACTCTCCCTCCTGTCCAAACAGATCGTTTACAGAAGGGGCCTCTATTTAAAAAAAGGAACTGAACGTTCAGAGCTGTTTTCAGGCCTTAAAACACTGTCGACCGGCTGTTGCCTTTCAAAGAATCGGGCTTTGTCTTGCACATTCAGGCCCTGAAGACCAGGGCAGAGTTTGACACTGTAATCAGAAGATCAACACGATGGCTTGCGGAACTGAGTATCACACAAAATGTGATCATTTATTTGCTGGAGATCATGGTCTCCCCAAAAATGGGGTGGTTTGAGCCTCAGGTCAAAGGACTCGCTGTTGCGGCTTCAGGGCTTGCCCGAGTAGAGGTCGCACAAGTGGAAAGTCCATATTGTCTGCACCTCTTCTGCTGCCTTATTGGACTCAGATGCAATGACACTTTCCCAAGGGAAGATGTGTTGTACAGGGTTTGCAGTAGTGGAGGTGGTGGAGCTCAGGCACAGATACAGATACAAATACAGACCTGGCCATTCAAGCCGTGATTTCACAGCCATGTGTCTTAACCATGCTAGCCTGACGGACCATCTGCGCTTGGGTAAACTTGAGCTCTCTTTGAAGCTGTGGATGGGGCAAGCTTGGAAACCAGGCAAATGGAAGAGGGAAGCACAGGCAGGTTTTGATCTGATGTACGTATAGCTTTTGAGCGAAAGACTTTGCACATGTGCCGTAAGGGAGGTCTGCAAGCAGCTAGAGGAACGTTTAAGTCGTGGAGAGCTGTTGTACTTCAAACGCGCGGGGGGGTCACATGCACGTGGGCTCAAGGGAGGCTAACTCTGGCCCAGTCACCTTGTCGACGTCTGTAACATGCAGAGCAGGAGGCTGGCAGGACTGGTTTGGGAGGGTGCCGTGACTACGCTCAGGTTGTAGCAATGAGGTGGTCTGGTACTGTCCCAGTACACGCCCCACCTCAGGACATAGATGGCTGAGGTTGTCCAGTGGCTGATGTGTTGCATCCAAGCGGTGACGGCACTGCAGGAGCTGGGGTGAGATTTCTCCTGCATTTGGTTATCGCTGTTTCTTGTGCCTCAGACTTGACATACCCTTGTGTGCACATAACTTATTTTCAGGTTATATTTCTCACGGAGGAGGGCTTTGAATCACCTTGTACCATGGCTAGGGGACAGGTAGCCATGGGGAAGGGTGGTTCCTAAGTCATCTGGAATTGGAGACCCTGGTCCCTTGGAGAAGCAGGGTGCTCTGACGAAGTGACCAGTAGTATCCTCCCTCCATGAGACAGAGGTGCTGGGTCTTGACTGGCCTCTGAGAAGACAGTCACTGATGGTAGGCACCACTGATCCACTCGTACTAAGTAGTGGCTGCAAAATCCCCTTGACTGGGCCAGCAGGTTTCCTACCTCAAAAGCTTGGCCTTCATTGATGGAGGTTTCACCCTGGGTGGAGACTCCTTGCTTAATAGTTGCTTCTTACTTCTCTTTCGCTCCCCTTTTGTCCGCCTGCACCAAGAACGGCACATATTGTGCCTGCAGCCTCCTTCTCAAGGCACCAGGGAATTAGTGCCTTACTTCCTTCAAGTAAGAAGGAAGAGTGTCAAGGGGTGTGCTCAGCTCTTGCGTTGTTTCAGAAAGTTAGTGTTGGAAATGGGAACGTGGTTCTGGGCAGAAACCATGCTAGGAAGTGAGAGGTGGAGATCAGCTGCTAGTGGAGGGGAGGGGATGTGGCCCAAGGGCACTGTCTGCAGTGGGAGGGCATTGCTTGTCTGTGCCTGGCTCTTGGAAAAGAAGTCTGCCTTGGTTTCTGTACCATTGCTCTGCACTGTCTGCCTCTTTGAGAGAGAAAGGGAGGAAGACATCAGAGGATTTCCTGCTATCACTTGACTCTGAGACTTGGAGCTTTAGGAGATCTCTCCTGTATTGCACAAAATCCTAAATCTGGCCCATGGCAACACCGTCAGCTTTGTGCTTGGTGACAGTCACAGTGCTCTCAGCCACGTGATGGACAGTGAGTCCCTTTGAATTAGCAAACCTGAGACTTGAGTAGGACATTGCCATCTAACAAGCACCAAGCCAACTTTTCTTGTTTGGATTCTCAAGGGTCAGCTTTTTGAAGGATGACTGGAAAAGAAAATCTAAAATGCAGCTTTTCGTCTTGGACTCTTGCCAGTCTTTTCACCTATGACTTTCTTGCCCTGGCTGCTTTGTGTGTTGAGCAGCAGTCTGCAAGCTCTGTGTGTCCAGGGGAGATGACCTTTTCAAGAGGAGAGCAGGCTCGAAAGGCAGCTTCCTTCTGGGGAAAGCCTCTCTTTGTTTGCCTCGGGTTTCAGGGCTTGGCCTGGGGCGGTCGAGGGGGGACCCTTGTCCTCGGAGGGGCTCCAGAGGCCCTGGGTTCTCATTAGCAGATTCAGCTCATTCAGAAGACCCATTTCTTTTCAGCCAGGAGAATTCATATGCAAAGCGCTGAGCCGGAGTGGGAGGCAGATCTCAGCCCGACTGGTGACT